ATGCAGGTGATGAGGGGAGTGGATGGGGATGCAGGTGATGAGGGGAATAGATGAGGATGCAGGTGATGAGGGGAGTGGATGGAAATGCAGATGATGAGGGGAGTGGATAGGGATGCAGATGATGAGAGGAATGGATGAGGATGCAGTTGATGAGGGGAATAGATGAGGATGCAGGTGATGAGGGGAGTGGAGGAAGATGCAAGTGTTGAGGGGAATGGGTGGGGATGCAGATGACAAAGATGGGAGCTGCCTACACACTGAGCTTTGTGAGGAGCAGCAAGTAAAACGGCAGTGCTTGCTCATGCTCTCCTCCTTCCATCTTCCGTTCTTTCTTCCTGGTTTCCTGGGTTCTCTTCTTCTCTCTTTTTATTTTTGTTTTTGCATGTATATGTGTGTCTGGGATGTGCACATATGTGTATGTGTGACCATGTGTGTGTGAATACACATGTACGGCCACGTGTGGAAGCTGAAGGTTGACATTGTGTCTCTTCCTTGATTGCTTTCTACTTAGCTTGCTGAGGCATGGTCTCTCCTAAAACCTGAGCTTGCCCATCTCACTAGTCTACCTAGTCAGCTTGCCTCAGGGACTCTGTGTCTGCCTCTTGGGTGCTGCCATTATAGGCAGACCATCTGAGGATGGGGGGTTGGATGGGGGGGGGTGCGGTGGATCCAAATTGATCCTTTCTCTTTCATACCAAGCTCTTTATCCACTGGGCCATTGCCAGCCCTTCAATTTTCACCCACATTTCTTCTTTCTTTTTTAAACATTCAAGAGACCTGCAGCTTGGGATTTGTTCTTGGCCTGTCCTGGCTGTCTTTGAACCCCTTTTTTCTTGTGGTTCTTCCAGAATATCCTTGAGAGTCTACACACCCAAAAGGGGTGGTCTCCATCTTGTCTGAGGATGCTCCCTGGGATTCCTTGAGACGCACACTCTGAGTTGATGGATGGGCTCACGCCAGCCTCCCCCAACCCTCACTGGGCCTCCCATCGCCTGTCCTGTCTCCTTTTATAAGAGCTGGGGTTAGAAAAGACAAAAGAGAAAGAGGCGGCAGGCTCACTCTCGGTGGTGTGTGTTGTATCCCTGACTGCAATCTTACCATGTTTCCATGGAAAGACACATCATCAGTCAAACGTATAGTAAAAGAACAGAGTAGTACGGAGATCGTGTCACTATGGAATTGGGGGAGGGGAAACTGTGGCTTTTGCTCCTTGTGTCCACTACCACCTTTGCACAGTGTGAATCGACCCTCTTGGCGCTGACTTCTCCCAAATACATATTGATAAGAACAGTGATATCATCGGTGAGCAAGGACCTTAACTGAGTTCTGTTCCCTAAGTGCTGGGCCAGCCCTGGCCAGGCAGCAGCACAAACATTGCAAAGAATTTTTTCTCAGGAACAGGTTGCTACACTCACCAAAAACATCAGTTGTAGGTAGAGAGGGAGCTTGCAACATAGAACTCTGTTTTGCCACTCAAAAATATTTCTACCAGCAAAGGAGTGTGGCATTTCTCTTTCCTGGTAGCCTTTATGAACCCAAGAAAAGTTTGGAACCAACACCCTTAGCAGAATTTTGTTTTTTAAGGAATTAGCAAGAGCTGGGGGGGGGGGGTGCGTGGGAATCCTGGATTCCATCCCTAGTACTGCAAACAAGAGGAAAGCAGCAGCCATACACTGGCTACGGGTTACACTTGTATTTGTGAGACGCCTAAATGTGCCTCACGTCGGGCTGCAACTCAGGAATGAGAAAATATGGCTTCAGTGATGTTCAGCAGTAGTTCTCTATGAAAATGTGTTTTTACAATGTGGACAAGAATCTCTTTTCTCAGGGCAATAAAACAAACGTCTCACTAATGATAGTGATGAATCGGCGCGTGCAATACCAGTATTTCTTCTTTAAATAGTCGGCCTTCTCCTCGCCGAACATTTACCCAGCAAGTTGATCACAATTTGACATGCACACAATTTAGCAAGATTGATTTCATTATACAATTTTTAACAGAAAAAAAAAATCTTGAATCGTAATTGTCAAATAAGGATTGTTCTGTTAAGGAGTTTTGATGTTCCGAGAGAGTAGCCTTATCAATTTAACTCAATACGCTTGCAAAATTTTCAAAGCAAAATAAAATGCTTGGCCCTGAAAAGAGACGATGCTGAGGAAGGGTTGATGGGAGCTCAGTGGGAAAGAATTCGTAGAGAACACAGGTCCTTTTCTTTAGCACCACCAGATAATTTAATTGATTTGTCTTCTATACATAAAGGGTGATGAAGTGGGGGTGTCAGGTGAGAAAATAAATATTTGCTGAGTATCTGCTACAAGCCTTCAAGATGAAACATTTTCTTCTTTCTTAGCCATTTAGCAAGCTGGTAGCCATATCCATAGCATGCACTAGAAAGAAATATTAGCACAGAGAGGTTAAGATACTCATTTAAGGTCATTCAGCATTTGGTGACTGGGTTGCTCACATATATTAATCATTATCTCTTCTCTCCACCTCAAACTGTTTCTTTCCTTAAATTACCTCTTTTTTTCTAGATATAGTAATAGTTCATGTATGATCATAACAAAAAATGTTGTCAAGAGACCAGAGTTTAGTCTTAACCCAAATGTCTGTAAGAGCCAATTTTTGTTCCAGCTGAGTTCACACACGCTCAGCAATGTGAGCCTGTGGGGCCAGAAAGCAAGTTCTCTCTCAGGTCTCAAGACGCCCCTAGCTGTCCATTGTCTATGTCTCTTACAGAGCTGCACGTGTTAATTTCTAAAGCTCTGGGATAATGGGTCAGGGAGCCCAAAGCCCACCTGCAACCCTGAATCAAGTGACTCCGAGGGGCTGTCTCTCTGGGTGGCACAGGGACCTGCTCTGGGTCTCCAGCCTGTTCATGCAGGTCTCACTTCCCCCAGCACCACCTACATCCAAGCGCTTCCCTGACAATCCTCTCCCTTTTCTCCCCCAAACACAATGGAAAGTTAATTGAATGTTTTATGCCTTCGAAATATCAAAGAAATGAAAAGGAGGCAGGTTTCAACCATATTTCAATAATACGTGCATTAATTTTTACCTTTTACTGACATTTGTACTAATTTCCTTAAATGCTCTCTCAGGTTCTTTTTTGATCTGTCTGGCTTTGTTGGGCTGATGATGAAGGCTTACTTCAAATGCAAAAAGATTAACTCTCTTTCCCTTCATAGAACAATTACGGATTGTATGATGTCTCCATCATGAAAGAGCGCAGGGACAGACGGGGAGAGTCACGCGAGTTTATTATAAAAGTGCCGGTAATAATTCTAATTACTTTACTCTCAAAGATATCAAAATTGCCCCCCAATTGCCTAGTGGCATTCAGAAACTGTTGTGGGTTTTAAAAAAAAAAATGGGAGGAATGCATTTAGTGTGACTTGGGTCATTGTTTTAATAAAGTCTGCTGATAGACTCTCACCATAAGCCCACATTTCCTAAACCCCCCGGCTGGCTTACGAAATCATGGGGAATGCAGAATGGCTTCCCTGCACAACATTCAAAGTGAGCTAGAAATGATAACTCTGCGTACTATTTGTGGCTCACTATTTAAAGCCCAGGAAAAACAAAGAATAAAATCCTTTAATTTTGTCAAACGGGTGCAATGTTTAAATTCGGCAATGACTACAGTTCAAAAGACCAGATGTTCTCTTGTATTTATATAAATTTTTTTTTTTGCACAATAGTTTACCAGTAGCAAAAAAAAAAAATCAAAGCACATTGTTGAATTTGGCATTTCTATGCTTCACACACACACACACACACACACACACACACAAAAAAAAAAAAAAAAAAAAAAAAAACCTGGAGATTGTATTATATTAAATTAATTCTAATTTTATTAAAGCCAGGGAGAGAGACAGAAATAAATGGGGAGACAGTCATATTAATCTTATACTAAATTAAGTCCAGAAATAAAAGGCAACATTGATCTGAGAATGAAAAGCCCCTGCTCTAATGCATTCGGGTTAACGGGGGAGAAGCTGGGGCGGTTTGACCCATTGTCCGTCTATTTTAAGATGAACATTTGTTAAATTCTAATGAAAAACGCTGCACTTAAACTCTGGCAAAGAGACAATTCTACCTCCCGCTAACCCTGCCACGACTCAAAAAAAAAAAAAAAAAGTCTAGAATTTAAAAAGTAAAAGATGGGGGGGAAAAGCTTCGCTTCGAGGAATAAGCATTTTTAAAAACAGTCTTCTAGAGGGAGCCACATGGTGATAAAATTAGATGCCCCCCAAAATTGCCCAAACCTAAGACACCCTGATTTTTTAATTATCTATGTACAGCCAGGTAGGGACATGGTGTGGTCTCAATGATGAAGGACTTTGCTGAAGTAAATATATTAATTGCAAAAAAAAAAAAAAAAGCCATTTCCGTGAAAGCCACTCACCGAGGAGGACTGCCTCTGCCTCCGAGACAGAAAGACCGTGTTCTGCCACATGGCACAGCTGGGAAAAGCGTCAGACTCTTACATGTCTGTCTTTCTAATTCTCTCCTCGTGTACAGTAAATGTGGAAAATGTTGCTGGGAGGTGGAGAGTAATATAAACATCACGAAGCGAGGGTAAAAAGCCTGCCTCATCTAATATTATCCAGATTCAGTAACTAAAGGATCTTTTCCTGGTAGATGAGACAGAAAGATGGAAAGAAAGAAAAGGAAAGAAGAAGGGAGGGAGGGAGGGAGGGAGGG